GCTCTATGCTGTCCCCGGAAGCCCCCTCCTCGCTTCCCCAAGCTCTCCCGCCGCTGTACGCCACCCTCTACTGGTCAACAATAATATGATCAGTTCTTCTATGCATGCGTCCGCACACAAATACGCCATTGCTGCCGGCGCCTTCTGTCCATACAACGATCATGAAGCCAACCGTACCCCACCGACCAGACAGACCAGGCAGGTAGGTCTCTCTCTCACATCGCCTCGCCATTGGACGTCCCGTTGTTCACACCTCCTGCGCCGCCCCCGAGCGACCCCATCCCCCCCCCCAAGATTCCCTCCAGCTCTAGCGCCGAAGCCCCCTCGTCCGCCTCGGCGACCTCAACCTCCGCCGCCGTCTCGCCTTTACCCCTCCTCTGCTGGTGATGGCCGCCGTCACCACCGCCGGCGCCGTCCAGGCCCGGTCGTCCGGTCCCAGGCCCAGCGACAACCCCCGCAGACCGACTCCTCCCGCCGACTCCCAATCCGCTACCACCGCCCCCGGTGTCCCCGTTGGCCTCTCGGAACTGCTGAAAGAACGGCAAAGACGACGACGACGAACCGCCACCGCCACCGCCGTCGCCACCGCCGGCCGGCAGGAGGTCGGGACCCCCAAGGTAGGGAGACGACGGGGAGCGGCCGCTGGCGCTCATGGGCGGGCCGCGGGGGGGCTCGGCCCGTTGCTCTCGACCGCCGCCGACGGGCCCCGGCGGCGGCCGTACGGAGGCGTGAGACAGGATATGTTGTTGCTCCTGGTGTGGAGGGTGTGGAGGGTGTGGAAGGACAAGGGCCGGGGCGGGCGGAAGCGGGGGGGATGCGACGCTTTCGCCGACAGCAGCTTGAGCGCTGCGAATGACCTGGCAAACGGCAGTGCGAGTGGGGGGGAGGAAAGAGAGTTTCACAGCTTTACAAAACCTGTAGGGTACGGTTTGGCGCAACTACTGTGAAACGAGACAGGAAATCGCTTCGGGTATGTGCATGACATGTGCATGACGTATGCATGAAGTGTGAGCACACTCAAAGACGGTGTCAAAAGGGCAACGGGCTCAGGGAAGACACGACGGCCATTCCTCAGCGCACAGCCTGTTGCAGCAACCTAGCATATGCGTTCCCCACAACTTCGCGACGCTGGGCTTCTTTCAGTGGCACACCCCACAGAGAGGTTCCCGTATGGTACACAGAAAACTGCAAAGAAAAGTATTAACCTTGATGCGAGATACACGTAACCTCTGTCGCTACAGCCGCGGGGAAAAACGCAAATCTTGAGATCGATCGACAAAGATTGTTGATGCGATCGAGATACATTGGTGACGCTTTCGTCGGTACAGCCGGGGGAGACAAACTACGCCAAAACTATGACGTCAACAAGCACAGCGCCAACCCGTTCCTCGCATCGCAAAAAAACTACCAAAGCAACGGATGCATCATCGGTACACAAGCTCGGGTGCCGTTGGCGCGGCGCATTCCTTCTTCACTCTCACCCGCTGCCCACAGTACGCGCAGAAGTTGGCTGTAGCCGGGACTAAACGCTCCCCACAAAACGTGCAAAACTTCGCCGCTGCTACTGCTGCTGCTGCTGCTGCTGCTGCTGCTGCTGCACTCCCGCTCCCGCCCCCCGCCGCCGCCCCCGGCAGCTCTCCTGTGTTCACCATCACAGTGTCCGCGGGCGCTACAGCGCTCGTGACGCCGACAGTCATCGCCGGGCCCCTTGCGGCCTGTTGCAGATCTGCTAACGACGTGATGGGGGCACACGTCGGTGCATGCTGCTGCTGCTGCTGCTGCTGCTGCTGCTGCTGCTGTAGGCGGTGCTGTGGGTGCACGGAGCCTGCGGGGTGATGGTGATGCACATACTGTCGTTGGTCGTTGTGTACGATCGCTTGCGGGCTCCTCGGGTCATGGAGGAGGGACGGAGAGGCCGTGCGCCCCTGCGGCGGGGCTATCGGGCCGGGCGGGGGGCGATGCTGCTGCTGCTGCTGTTGCTGCACCGGTGTCGCCAAGGAAGACGGTGACGTTGCTGCGAAACCGATGCCAGCAAACTGACTGATCGTCTCCGTGATCTCAGCGCTCGCATAGGTGTGCTTCATGGTGCAGCTGCTGCCATCGCTTTGCGTAGCGGGCGGGCCGCCGTTGCCGTTGATCGTGGACCCGCTGCCCCCGCCGGCAGCCTCAGCGGCGATGAGCCTACTGCCAATGATGCCCTTGGATGAGAGCTTCGGCGTGGCAACAACTTTCTGTTTCTGCTTCTGCTGCTTGTCTTTCTTCCCCTAATCGATGAAACAGGGGGGTAGAGCGAAACCAGATCAAGAGTCAGCCAGCGGCTTTTCGCCACATGCCTTGCAAGCAGCAACCGCTATGGTGGAAGGTCGCCCATTCTTTCGGTTTCGACGTGCTGTCTCCGTGCTACCGAACCATGTCGCGACCCACTCCCTTCGCCTCCCCAACTTCGAAGCAGCTGTTGCCCTACTGACACACAAATCACAAAAACCGAAACCACCTCCTAAAATAACAAGTGGAGAGGGAGCGGCGTGAACAGACCGCCAACATCCAAGGGCCAACACCCTACATGAAGCTTGAGCGTATCACCGTTCCACGAGGCGTACCTTCGACTTCTTGCCCTTGCCGCCGGAGGTGGGCTGCTCGACCGCAGCAGACGGGGGATGGCTTTTGTTCTGGAAGGCCTGGCGGATGTCTTCGTCATGGTTGGGCTGCTGCCGTGTGCCGTGTGCCGTGTACCGAGGGAGGAAGGGAAGGGAAGGGAAGGGAAGGGGAGGTCGCTCGGTAGGCGCGAGGGGCGGCTTCTTCTCGACAGACACAAGACTAGCCGTCGCGACACTGCACACACATCGTCCACGCTGTCGATCTCAAAGATAACCTAAACGAGCGTGCCTGCCTGAGGTGCTGCGGTGGTGGTGCCGGCACCGATGTCATCATACTCCAACACTTCCAAATACTTCCAAATAATTCCAAATACTTCCAAGTACTCTGTCAACTCTTGTTGGGGCCCCTGGCCGGCATCGTTTTACTCCCTAACATTTACCTCTTCACACCCCTTTGCGAAAATTCATAGTCCAATCGCAGGGAAACCCCAAGGCTTGACGCTCTTGTGGCCTTACGTGCTGTCCAGTCCCACACCCACGACTTCAAAATATCCACCCTTGATACTCTTGGTGCCCAACTCAAAGCTCCGGGTCGCAAATCGTACCACCTCTCTCCCTCTCTCTCTTGCTCTCTTTGGTTCTTTCTCTCTTTGGTTCTTTCTCTCTTCTCTTCCTCCCCCTCCCTCTCCATATATCCTCTTCCTCGCTCCCCCTATCTCACACACGCCACATCTCTCACCCCCTTTGTCTCGTCCTGTAGTCCTAGCAGCGACAATTGCGCCTCCAGCTGCTCCGCCTCCGCTTGGACGCGGCGTGCCTGTGCGAGCTTCCACTGTGCCTCTTGCCTCTGTTGCACGCCGTGTTGCGTAGCAAGGGGATGATGGGAATATTTTGTACGACCACAATCTGACTGCTGTGGGTGTTGATATTCTCTCGGCCCAACACCTCGCTGTCAATATGAGTTTCATAGTAAGTGCGTTGACCTAACGTTAACGTTTGTTGACATCTTGCGTACGAAACAGCAACAAACGAAAGAGATTTGGGAACTTGTACTCATTCTGTTTTATTTTGTCTTTTGTTTTGTTTTTTACTGGCACGTACCCCCGCCCCTTCCTTTGGCCGTCGACCTGCCTCCATGTAGTGGGAGGCTACCCCCCCAGGCTGGTGGTGCGGCCGTTCCACTAGTCTAATTATTTATTTTATTTTATTTTATTTGTTTCTGATTATATTTTGTTTTCTTGTATTTTATCGCTCTGCTGACCCTTGGGGTCCATTTTATTTTGGTATACCTTTTCTAGGTACGTTAGCCTGTGACCACGGAAATTGGCCGAGTCAAGTGATGGATTAGTACGGAGAGATTGAGACAGAAGGAGGTACTGGATAGAGAGACCGGGATGGTTGTTAATGTGAAGACAACAACAACAACACAACAACTCCCCCCATGCCAAAAACATCCTCCTGAACAAAAACAAAAATTACGCAGCGGTTTTAGGCACGCATCCACAAAAACGCGAGAGGGATAGGTACTCGTACTGCCCGTGCCATAGGAAAACATGCACACAAAGCGTGCAACGGACGCAGAGCGGCACCAAGCAAGCCATGCTTTGCTCCCCACCTCTTGCTCCTGCCTCTCCTGCAGCAGCCTAGCGCGGCGCTCCTCGATGACCCTTTCCTCCGCCAGCCTTATCTTCTCCTGTCTCGCCAGCTCCCTCTTTGCGTTCTCCTCGTCTTGGAGGCGTTTCTCCTCCTCGCGACGCTGAAAAAAAAAAAATGTTTTTTTTTTGTTTTCTGTGCAGTGGAGGGCCCTAACCGAATGTGGCGGTGGCGGGGAAGCTGAGAATGACTTGTCCTCCGCGCGAAGCTGAAAAAAGATATGGTACATGTCGTGTATTTTCTGTGCAGGGGGGGTTGCACCCCCGAATAAGCCGGTGGCGGGGAAGCTGAAAATGAAAATGAGCGACATTACGTGGGGCAGCCGCCTCATTCAATGTGTACAGCTAAATTATTCGTCTATGCCAGCCAATTTCGCCCGCCGGATACAGGGCGACACCCTTGTTCAGACCACCCTCCTTATTGGAGGACCCCTACTGAACACTGAACAATGCTGTTGGAGGACAGAAGCAAAAAAGTCCTGCGGCCAATCTCCTGTGAGAGAGACCCTCTGGCTCGCTAGCACCCTGATTCAGCGTCAGAGCATTCAGCCAGAGGCACGGTTCACGGATGGTAGTTTCGGCAAGTGGCACCAGAGAGAATGCTGTACGTTGCCTGTGTGCATGCAGTGCTGTGGGCAAGCACTGCAGAAGAAAGGAGGAGAAAAATAAAAAAACAACCCCTGTGGGGTATTTCTCTTGTGAGACCCAGGTATGGTCCAGGCTACCACCTAACCCCAAAGGTACGTTTACGCTAGGTTAAGAACTGCTATAAGGGCATTGTAGGGTTCGGTCGAACATTTCCAGAACATGAGAGGACATTGCCGCACGCGCGGACGACACAACGTGGTATGTAAGCTGGTAAGATGGTAAGATAGTAAGGCGGACCCCGAAGATGAACGGTACGTGCCGTTACCGTTAACAGCTACCATACCACTGCTCAGTACAACAAGACCTGGACTTAAACCGTGAAGCAACGCGGAAGCAGCAGCATCCATGCGCACAAGCTTGCGCTACTTGTTGCATTGTTTCGGTCTAAACTCTAGCCTAACCTTCTTGTCCCTTTCCTTCCTCTTAGCCTTCTTGCTGCGGCGCCTAGCAGCTGCCCCCTCCTCTTCTCCAGCACCTCCCTGCTCGGCCTGCCAATATATATATATATGATGATAATTCCAAAAGTAAAGGAAACGAAGGGTAAGACTTTAGGCGGCCTGCCAAAGCGAAAAAAAAAACACACACACACACACAAAAATAACAAAAAAAACAAACGCGCTGGCAAAAAGGGTGTCGGTTACTAACATTTTTCCACGGTATACCTCCTCTTCTACGACGACCTAAAGGAAAACAATCCAGACAGGGTCAACTCAGCAACAATAGCGGGTCACCTCTAGCTCTTTGAGCAGGCTGCTCTCGTACTCCCTAGCCTTCAGCTCCGCCTTCCAAGCTTGGGCGATGTTCCTTCGAGCGAGCCGGCTCAGGGTCTGGCCGAGCACCTGTGGACAACACGATGGGCGATGACAATATTCCGACGCCAAGCGACACGGCGCCGGCAACACGCACGGACACGGTAACGTTAACGGTAATGGTAACGGTAATGGCGACGGAAAACGCTAAACAAAAACGGAAACGGTTATGGTAACGGTGACGGAAACATAAACGGTAACACGAGGACACCATCACTGCCCATCACGACAACTATCACATCATGTGATTCGCGTTGGCTCCGAGAAGCACGCTGCTGTTTCAGTTGAGGAGGGTCGTGCCTGACAGTTCCTCCGCATTGCTGTTGTGCGGCCATTCCGGTACGAAAGCATACGTATGTCACTGTTCCGAGATAACCCGTTCCACCTGACGGAAATTCACAGCAAGCAACATGGCCCATCACGACAACCATCACACTCAATCATTCTACACAAAATACAACTCCATTCAATCACTGAATACAAAATAGTACTATTTCATTCAACACAAAATATTACCATTTCGTACCATCAATCTTCACCATTAATATCACCATTTCATACTACCATTCAATCATCCAATGCCTGACCCTCACTCTATCATTTCAAATCGGCTAGCTCACCTGGAATCCATGGTTAGCGAAGAGAGAAGGCACGCGCCCGGTGCCGGGCTCCCCGTTAGTCTCGCCGTCCGGCCCGCACTTGAGCACGGATAGAACCAGCAACTCTGGACCCCGCAACGCGTAGGCCTCCGTCTCCTGCGCATGTACCGCTTCCAACGTGTCCATGATGCTATCCACACGCTCCATTAACGGCGGCTCCTTGCCGTGGCCATGCTTGTCGCCCCCCTCGTCGTCATAGTCTTGCCGTGGCCGAGCATGCATGTTTCGGTAGCAGAGCAAGCAGTGGGAAGATGCGATGGAATTCCGAACCGTTTTTCTTTAGCCAATTCATCAGTCTCGCGGCCGAGCATTTGTTCGGTAGCAGAGTAGGCAGCGGAGAGATGTGTTCAGAATTCCGAATGAGTCCAAATCATAGTAGGGCGGCAGAGCATCGTGTTTGGTAGCAGAGCAAGAAGTGGAGAGATGCGTGGAGGATATCGAACCCGTGTTTTGGGGTCCATGCAAACAGAGAGAGTTCACGTATTGTTGGGGGAGACAGCAGACGGGAAACACACAAGGAAGTGAGACTCGAAACTCCACCAGTCTAGTGGGGTCGTATGCTGCTATTCGTTTGTGTACGCGTCAAACAAAAGCTTCGTGAACGGAAACTACTGCTTATGTCTGGCCACTGATGAGCTGGCTTGACGTCCAGTCAAGCGTGAAGGTGACGTATTCTTTACTAGAGAGGTCTAATTTCTAATTTTTGCTGTGTGGAGACGTAGAGTGAACGAGAAATTCCTCAACAGTAGTCCACACTACCGTCGTCAAAATTCTTCAAACCAGGCGCTATTACCAACACCAACACTGATGCATTTCGCAGCCGCCCTCACCATCGTCGTGACCGCTCCCGTCGCCATCAAAGTCGCTCGACCCCTCATAGTCGTACGCTTCGTCGTATTGGTCATCCGCGGCCCTCTTCCTACCCCTGCTTGCCTTCGCCGCTCCCTCACCGTCAGCACCCGGTGAGTTGTCAACCGGAGGAGGGGGCGACGCAGAATCTCTCTCGAGACACCCTTCCGCCCCCTTGCTAGCGTCAGTCGCACCGGCAACTCGGCCAACGCTTCTACTCGCAGTACCCCCGCCGCGTGATGTTGAGCCCGGCGAGAAACCCTTGAGGGGGGGTGCCGCATTACCATCCACGATGCCCCCGTTGGCGATGGCCGAAGACGCCGCCTCCGTGCCCCCCGTTGCTCCGCCCGCCGCCCCGGCGGTGGCCTTGTTAAGCTTAGGAGCGGTGGCGGTGGCCTCGTTTGGCGTGGATCCCCCGAACAGTAGATCACCGACAAACCTAGAGAGGGAACGGGTGAGCGTGTTGTGATCTATGGACTGCCCACGCAAAAGCAAGGTTATTGCGAAAATATGTCGGACAGAGGGCACGCAGACTCTAACCCCAATATAACCAGTGCATACCTTGTCCAGCATGTTGGCACATTTCGAACCCCCCGCGTAGCCTACTGCCTGATTTGTTATTGTTGGTGGGATTGGTGTGCAGCAGAACAAGTCGGGGTGGCTGTAGGGCGGGTGTAGGCCAGGTCGATTCGCTCGCCCCATAGCGGGCACCCGCCCTACTCAAAGCACTCCGTCAACGACTACTTCTGATTGTTCAATCTGGGCCGAGAGCTTCACCCGACCAATGTAGGAATCCTGCCCTTAATAGGGGCCCCTCTCTTTATTCTAGAGGGGCCCCGATTTCTTTTCGTTTTGCAAACTCAAATCAAGCAAGTTGGCTTCTGTCTTCCGAAAATGCATAATGCAAAACAACACATGTCATATAGACGCAACACGTTGGACACATAGGAGGGGTGTGTCTTCGTCGATGTCGACAACTGGATTGAGATGACACCCGGACACACCTAACCTTGGCCCATGAAGGACAGGCAGAATTCATGCCTGACAATTACACTTGGCACATGCACACCAAGACATGAAAGGGAGAGTCCTTCCCATGAACGTAAGACATTCAATTGTAGGTACCATTTACCATAAGCACAGACGACACATGTGCAAAGCATAAGGATGGCAAGGACAGAGAGAGAGACAGAGAGAGAGACACACAGAGAGAGAGATAGATAGAGAGAGAGCGACAGGCAGAGCGAGGCAGAGGAGAGATACTATTACTCACTGTCTGTTCTTTTCTTCTGTGCCGGAGTCGTTCGTACTCGGGCCGCCCAGCACCTGCCGAAGACAAAACAAAAAGTAGAGGAAACAAAAAAACAAAGAAAAAACAACGGTTTCGAATTGAATTGAGTTGCTGTCATGCGGAGGGAGCCACCATGAGACCGTCACAACCAGAGGCAACACGCTGCTGCTGCTGAGAAATAATATATGCCAACTGTAGGGAGCCGAACCCACACTCAGCTTCCCCGGGCTAAAAGGTACACATGACTACAGTAGTATTGTTCGGCAAGGCAATCAATACTATACTAGTGCACCTGGGATACCACGACTTGCTGCTTGTTCTTGAAGCCTAGCTCTTGAAGAGTGTGGTTGTTCTTCTCAGGCCCTGTCGAAGGATAGAGGACAGAGGATAGAGTGCGAGAAACCGTTCAGGAAGGGGGCGACGCACGGCTTGGCACTACAGCATGATACGTCAGTAGCCCGGTGCCAACCAAACGCCTGGGGTGGCCAATCACGCACGGTCACACATCTAACACAGCCCTGCAAATGCATACCATACAGGAAGGTAAGGTCACCAAACGGAAAATTCATTGAACGCAGGCTTTGCCCGAAAAGAAAAAAAACTTGATACAGCCGTAACCGTAACCGTAACAACTGCCTCCACATCCAAGCCCCGAGAAAAACGCCACCCACGCTAAGCTATAGGAACTCCGACTGATTTTCTGGCATATACAAAGACTGGACAAGCGTCATCGATGTCGAAAATCGAAAGGTAGGCAAACGTATCGGCTGGAGAACGACTGCACCGTGTCCCGCTACATCAAACCGCCTCGTTGGCTGACTCTACTTGCTGCACTTGGAGAAAAACACGGTCTGCGGGATGCATTCCACACGAGAAAACACGGATACGAAGGAGGTAGTCGTTGCACAGAAGAGGTTAGGGGACAACGGTAAGGGTAGCATAAGCTTAGTTTTGCGTTGTCTGGAGCGTTCCGTGATAAGTCTACGCCACAGCACCCGAGGTGGGATCATCAGGCATCAGGCCACTTGCAATCAAATGACTCGAGAGGGGGGAGCAAAATTAGCACGCAATCTCCCCAGCACTCCGTCCCCAACAGACGAAGATCAGCAGCTCGCTCACCGATTGCTCTTCCCCTGGTTAAAAGCACGAGCTTGGTCGCCGATTCCAGCTTCACATTCACGAGCATGATCTCTCTCAGGCCCAGGAGCGACATCTGATCTTCTACCAGCACCTGGCAAGTTACGTGATGCGAGGCGTGTGACAAGGGCTCGGTTTGAGGGCAACGTCCTTCATACCTACATGTCCTCAGCAGGCGGAGGCTAACGAACACGATAAGCTTTGAGATGAGAGAAAGCGCAGCACACAATAGGAGGGGTGGGTGAGAGAGAAGATTGGCAGAATATCACGAAGGTCGAGAATGGCACTCCACCTCCATCACCTCCATCACCTCCATCACAACCACCAAAAAATAACGACAACGGCATACACCACACCAGGGCACGTGCGTTGTCGACCACCTCCTGATCGGGACAAGGTGGACAAGGTGGACAAGGTGGACAAGGTGGACCAAGCAGACACGACACGCGTGTCGTCAAGGCAAATACTAGATACTAAGATAGTAGATAATCTAGAACAACGTTTTCACTGTGCATGGGCTTTCGGTACAAGCAGACACCCTACAACAACAACAACAAACAACGGTTCGGCGACCGTACCCGCTTGTCCTGCACTGCTGCTGTTCCAAAGACGAAGGCAGCAGACACACAAATGGCAAAAGTGCTTTCACGTTCGTGAGCCACTACAGTCTACTAGTGAGCATTCGGTTTGACTAGAGACAACAAGAACCCTCCCCGACACATGTGCATCATTCCTTCTCTCGCTCCCTCCCTTCCGTATCAACGGGAGCAGGTTCTGCGAGCATGTCCACGTCCCGCGCCACGTTACCGCACTACACACCATTGCATGTCCGACAAGGTGCATCTTCCGCTCTCTCCCTCCCTCTCCCACCCCGGACTTCCCGGGGATACGTTCGCATCTTCCGTACCACTACTGCAATACCGCATACCTTTGCACAACAACACCAAATACCGCAACATACCCCGCACCCGCTCTCCCTCTCACCTCGAACTTCCTGACTGGTCGAGGGTACGTAAGCATGTCCACCACCTTGAGGATGAGCTTCCCTTTGCAGTAACACCCCCGATCCCCCGGCTCCGGCGGCATTGGCCTCCACGGCTCTTCGATCTCCGACATCGCCGACACCGCCCTATCCAACACCTCCGTCTGATTTACGTTTCACCGCAAAACAGCGCGCACAGGAGACGTGGGGAGTGGGTGGATACATGGGAATCTCCAAGCGCGGCAGCGAGTGACGCGGCAGTAGCGGCTCCCGCTCGCGCACGTGGTCCTCAACACCATTACACAAAGGGGAAGGAAGCACCCTAAGCGATCGAAGCGGGGCACGGGGATCGTTCCAAGGATCGATCGGCCCTTGTGCGCAGGTTTCAATCTTTCGCTTTCCGCTCCCCGCAAGAGAGGGCAGGGAGGCCTCTAACGCTACGAGCAAGCTGTGATCAGCACACGCGGCAAAGGTTGCGCGTTTCGAACGCTGCATCGCGATCTGCTTCCAGTTTTAGCCAAACCCCATGGTGTGCCCTCGAGGTTTGGCAGCAATCGTCAACAACATCGAAAGCAGCGGCCAGCCCCGCTACCCTCACTACCACAGCAGCAGCAGCAGCAGCGGCAGCAGCAGCAGCAGCGGCAGCAGCGGCAGGAAGCGTCGGGAAATCAGAGCACTCACCGGCTGTAACGCGAAGACTCCGGCGAGATACTTGACGTAGCAAGGCCATCGCATTTGCATCTCTGGCCATCCTACCCAGTCCGCCATGAAGGCTCTGTCCCCGATTACCCGAAGACCTGACGCCTGCCGAGTAGCACAGGAAACCCACATGATCCAGGGGGCGGCGGGAAAATGCCAAGAAATATTGAGAAGGGACGTTCGTGCATGTATGCAATACCCAGCACATTTCGGGTGACAAACCGACAGGGGTTCGGTTCCCTAGGTCAAATCAGTCCATGAAACACTGCTGTAGGGGGAATCGGTGGGGTGCAGTCCAAGCAGCAGAAATGTTCAACTCGATAAACAACCATCCTTTGCCGAAATACTGACAACGCACATGCACGAATCTTAATCGAGAGACAGGCGAATACTCTCTGTGTCACTCGCCGTTGGTTTTGGAGAATGTTTTGGAGGCTTTTTCTTCGAAGACTTGACGAGGGCGCTGGAGTTGCCGTTAGGACCTGTGCCCGGTGGCGGCGGCGGCTGCATGTCCACCTTCGTCTCTGCCGGAAGGCCGCAAGGGAGTGAGCAAGGGAGTGAAACATACAAGGAAAAGGCGGCGGGGGGGGGGGG